AAAGGGATCATCCCGATGGTCGTGTGCAGCCTCGTTTGTCTGGTCGCCCTGGTGCCGCCCATCCTCATGATCGTCTTCACGGGCCCGCCTTACTGGTTCATGATAATGATGGTGCCATACATATTTGGCTACCTGTTCTGCATCATCGCCTACGTCCAGATGCTTCTCAAAAGCAAGAAAATGATCGCTTACATGGAGACCTCGCGTTCGATGAAAATCAGCACCAAAATTTCGGTTCCTGTGTTTCTCTTCTGGTTGTTCTTTTACCCGGCAGTGCTGGCAGCAGCTGCCTTGTCCATGTTCAGCGGGATAGCAGCGCTGATTTGCATTCCGCCCATCACCGTAGTGTCTTTTATCCCCGCTACCCTCGACGTGTACATGGCCTGCTACATGATGGCCTTCTACAGGTACCTCAATGAACTCACGCAGGAAGTGCAAGCGCGGGACGTGTGGGCAGGTGAGGACGTGCAGAAAGTGACCGACTCGTGGATGTACCTGACCAAGCTGGCTGGCCTTCACAACGAGGTATTGTTGTGCAATATATGTCAGTGCACAGCTTGTTTACAGTACATGCATTAGTGGCAAGCACATGGAACCTCTCTGTATCACAAAATGTATTTAAACAATGCTGAATGCAGTTGCAACTTCTTGTATGTTTTGTGATATTTTCTATGGTATTCATTTCCAGCATCCCATGCAAAGTTTACTCGCCTATTCAACTGACAATAGTCGACCTTCCCGAGGTGTTCATCCTCAATCTATTCCCATACAGTTGATTAGCAATATACCCTCTCCCTAATTACCACACAATTACCTCAAATCCACAACGCAGTCTGAACAAACACATTCACATACAACTAGAAAAATTACCCACCCCCAACATCTCAAACCAACCAAGACAAAAACGATAAACACCTGTTTCAGATCTTCTCCTTCACACTGCACCTCCGAGTCATCCTCCTGATGACGCAGACGATGTCCTTTCTCTTCTGCGTGTGGGGCATGGTTCGTTACGACGGCATGTGCATCATGGTCTTCCTCTTCAACGTCGTCCCGCTGTGTGAGGTCAACGCCAGGTTCCTGAGTCTCTGTAAGATCGGGGAAAGTGTCATCAATGCGGTATGGATCTGTTGTGGTATTTGCCTTGTTTGTTGTGGTACTTGCTCTGTTTATGGCATTTGCCTTGTTTGCTGTGGTACTTGCTCTGTTTGTTATGGCATTTGCCTTGTTTGTTGTGGTACTTGCTCTGTTTGTTATGGCATTTGCCTTGTTTGTTGTGGTACTTGCTGTTTGTTATGGCATTTGCCTTGTTTGTTGTGGTACTTGCTCTGTTTGTTATGGCATTTGCCTTGTTTGTTGTGGTACTTGCTCTGTTTGTTATGGCATTTGCCTTGTTTGTTGTGGTACTTGCTCTGTTTGCTATGGTATTTGCAGTTTGTTGAGGTATTGGTCTTGTTACCTTCGCCAAGAAGGTTATGTTTTTGGCCGCGTTGGTTAGTTTGCTAGTTAGTTGGTTAGCAGAATAACTCAAAAAGCTATGAACAGATTTAAATGATTTTTCTTACCAGAGGTGCCATTAAATTTTGGTAGTGATCCGGATCCTGCGCAAGATAACTCAAAAAGTTATGAACAGATTTTTGCATTCTGTTTACTGGTCTCAGCCCAACTTAGCTGCCATTGAATTGGTGGTGATCTAGATCATGATCCGGATCCAGGATTTTTTTTAATGGATTCATTAGCATTGCAAAATAGGGAAACGTTGACGTCATCAGTGTACTTGAGAAGGAGGTGATTTCAATGTAATTCGTGAAGTATGAATATTTGTATTGCACCAACGACCCTATTGCCTTGCCGGAGGTATGCGCTCTCTGGGGGCTTCTATTTTTTATTGTGTTTACCTTGCTTGTTGTGGATTTTGCTTTGTTTATTGTGGTATTTGACCTTTATGTTACGGTATTTGCATTTTTCGTGATTATATTTGTTCGGTTTATTGTGGTATTTGTCTTTATTTGTTATGGTTCTTGTTTGTGTTGGTATTTGTCTGCCACAACGCTTGTAGATAGCATTTTCTAAGCAATAAGAATAATGATTAATTGTCAGAGACGAATGGTCAGAATAATATTAATGAAAACAATAGTATTAAAATTAATAATTATAATAATGATAAAAAATGATAATAATAGTGATGAAAACAATAATAATAATGATAATAACAATAATGGTAATAATAATAAAAGTAATAATGATAATGATAATGATAACAATAATAGTAAAGGTCATAATAATAGTAGTAGTAATGATACTAGTAATGAAATACTATTATCATTGATATCATTATTATTGTTATTCGTATCATACTCATTATTCTCACTTCTATTGTTATTACTCATACCATTATGATAAGTAGTCACAGAAGTAGTAGCATCATTATATTGTTGTTATCTTTGTTGTTATTATTATCTTTATTTTATTATCACCATTATTATAGTAACTCATTAACATTCTTACTACAACAACCAAGGTCTATATAAGTACAACAACCAACAATTAAAGTAGTAGCAACACCACAGATAGCAAAACGAACAACAGCAGCAGCAACAACAAAAACAAAACAAAACATAATATCACGAATAAAAGCAAAAAGAAAGGTAAATAAAGACCACACACACACCCCTCCCCCCTCCAGAGCCACAGACTGATCAGGGCGATAACTGAAGCTATATACAGGATCGACCCAGATCTGCCTGAACATTTTAGCCTGTCCGCCCTCGCTGCCCGTCTGGAAGCTAGGCCTATCAGCATTCAGAACTGGGGGATGGAGAGGTAGGCTTATGGTTGATGGTGGTTCTTAGTGTTATTGTTATTGTTAAGAGTTGAGTGGGTTGTGTGTGTGCTTTTCTCTCTCTCTCTCTCTCTCTCTCTCTCTCTCTCTCTCTCTCTCTCTCTCTCTCTCTCTCTCTCTCTCTCTCTCTCTCTCTCTCTCTCTCTCTCTGTGTGTGTGTGTGTGTGTGTGTGTGTGTATGTGTGCGTGCGCGTGTGTGTCTGTGTCTCCCTTTCTGTCTCTCTCTCTCTTTCTGTCTGTCTATCTCTGTCTCTCTGTCTATCTATCTATCCATCTATCTCTCTACCTCTCCTCCCTCCCTTTTTCTTTTTATCCTCTTTAGCTTGCATATATGTGATAGATGGATTAAAGACACACACACACACATATATATGTATATATGCATATATGTACGAGTCTGTATATGAATATACGTCTATGCGCTTGCGCGTGTGTGTGTGTGTGTGTTCATGTGAGGGATTTGTGTGTTTGTATTGATATATATGTTTATTTATATATTTATATACATCTATATATAGAGAGAGAGATAGCTGAATAGCCACCACACACATTCCTCAATGCCTGTCGCCCTGCATCCCCCCCCTCCTTCCATCAGCCTCTCCGCGCGCACCTTCGTGTCGCTGTCCAGCGTGGTGGTGACGTACCTCGTGGTGTTGCTTCAGTTCTGCCAAAAGAGCATCGAGTTCACGAACATTGCCGATGGGGTGATGTTCACTTGGTTCGACAGCTGCTTTTGCGAGAACACGACCTTGATGAACGCCTCCTTTACAGCGCCGTGGAATGACAGTTACCTTCTGTCTACATATTTGCATACGGATATATGAGTATGTATGGGCGTGAATATACGCATACAGCAGCGTGGAAAGACACTCGGATACACATACACATTTAAGGGTGACTTTGTAAAGAAAAAACACATATAAACGGGGATGCAAACATGAGCACAAACACATGCATTCACATTCCTACAAATATAAATAGATATAAGTCCAAAACACGCACAAACATATTCATAGATTAGGATTTCTACTTACTGTACTGAAACATAAATAAAAGATTGCAATAAACAGTCTTTCATTTACACATCCAAAAGAAAAAAGCATTTGTTTGAGTTTTTTATATGTACGTACCCTCTCAGCCAACATACAGCGGATTCCTTGATTGACGTATATCATATCGCGTTCTCATCGCTTATATATAGTGCTATAAATATATATAGTGCTATAAATATATATAGTGAAATAAAGGATACATTATTACTATAAGCACTCAGAGAACGCATACCTCCGCCAAGGCAATGGGGTCACTGATGCAATAAGAATATTCACACGAAAATTCATTGAAATCACCTCTTTCAATTACACAGGTGGATGTCCGTAAACACGGTCTTGGCGGTGAGGCGATGAAGGAGAAGATATTTGCAATAAATGATGAAAAAAATAATAATCTTTGGATTCCGGCGAATCTAAGTTAAGAAGCTAAGACACAGTCTTTCGGTTACCTAATTCTTACCTTTATTTGAGCTTATCCTGCTAACCAACAAACACACGCGACCAAAAACAACCTCTTTGGCGGAGGTAATAAATGAATGCTTATTATCAACAAATACACATCTCCTCCAGTCGGAATTCTCTCTCCATTAAAGGAATATAAAACCGAAAAAGGGAACTCCGACCTAAGGTAACGATATTAAATACTTAGATAAGCAATGGAGAAATATGATCCGAGATAGAGAAGATCGCGATTGCACTAGTCTTAGATTATTTAAGTATATAATGAGGTGTTGTAATCTATCATATCCGAATCGTAATTTTTTTTAGGATCTGTAAGTATGTACACATAATTGTACCATTCTAATACCTTGGCTAATATCACTTCTAGAGTGTAGACTGTTGGATAACACTATCTCAAAATTAGTCCAATAGTGGCCCTTGGCGGAAGGTAAATGCCGTTCTTGAGGTGCTTACAATGAGATACGATAGAATGTATCACGTATTAATTGGATTATCTCTCACTAATATATATCAAATTGTAGTAATGACCATAATTAATGATATAGATAATCAGACCGAGATGTTGAAGCAAGTACGAGCTATTATATGAAATTATTTAACAGTTCAAACGCAAGTGAAATCATTGAAGCTGAGGAGTGAATGAATAGCCTTAGGAACTCTCGAGGAGAAGGGCAATGGGGTTCACTGAGTGATGAAATAACAATCTGACTAAAAATCGAGAATAGGATCCATCTCATCACTCACTCTACTATCTATTATAGTCGAGTATGATGTTTTAAAAGAGACAAAAAGACTATGTGTTTTTATTGCTAACCTTATTTCGGTCGATTACTCTTAATATGAATTCCTGTTAAATATACAAAAAAGTCCTACGAGTAAAGTAGAAATCCTAATCTATGAGATCGGGATGTCAGTCACCAAAATTTAATGGCATCAAAGTTGGTCTATGCACGATAGCTCTCTGGTTTGAAGAATTGAATAACAAACTTCTTGTACCATAAATGCTTCTTTGAGAAATTATAAGTACTAACCTAAATCAACTAAAAGAACACATAAGTAAGAAACATAGATCTAACCGACGCAATCATAAAAACAATCTCATTGGCGGCAGGTGAAATTCGCTATAGAGTGACATATTTGACATAAAAATCTAACCCTCGATGAATATAGTTAATTAAGCAAAATAATAAATTAGTATGCTATATTAATATTATCATTGCGTATATTAAAATATGGATAACAATAATACACCATCAATCAGATAACATATATATATATAATAACAATTGATGATTGATCATGATTAAGTAATGTGGATTATAATGACAACTGCATAAGCGCAGTATAGCAATACGCTAATACATTGGCTTATGATCATTTGATTACAATATCGATAACTGAGCGATGAGGGGGGATCTAATGACATAAAACAGTCAGTATAGGTCTACACCGTAGCAAGCACTCACAAGCAGTCGCAACCTTGCATTCCGCTGGCAAATAATGGGTGCAATCGATTGGCCACATAATTTATGTAGATCACGACTTGAAGGAATTACTGGGGCATTTATATATTCATCCTCCTACGCCGGCGCCGCAAAGGTATGATTGGAGTGGTGAGTTATCGTAAAGGTGACCATCCACTTAATGAGTAGATTCGATAGTAGATGCGTTAATGATCAAAAATAGACTAAAAGGTCCTACCACCTCGTGATTCGTAGGAGCCGAGATTTAAAATACATAACCGGCAACTCCATATTCTGGCATGAGTAATCGTGAAAACTCTCCGGATGCACTCTCGATTTCTAGTAACACAGAGGTGCACACCACCACAAGTGTATAGCGCAGACACCAATCTGAGAGTACCGAACCGTGTCCGTACTTAAACACTCGCGCACGTCCCTTAGCGAATAAGAAAGGTCACTATGAACGAGCGCAGGGCACTCACACGACGCGCAGGGTGTTCTTGCCGAAAGTTTGACGCCCACGGAGCCGCCCATAGACGTTTGTACAACCTGGTAATTGTTAGAGAGTCAGTATGGCAGGGCAGAAAGATGCCTCTACGAGTGTTCCGCAGAGAGCAGAGCACTTGAGGAGAGCACATGATCCTAATTTGCTGCGCTGGTAGCGCGCATATGAGTATCATATATATACAGCTATAATACTTATACTATATATAATTTATATCATTATACTACTCTAATTAGTATATATTAATGAATGTGATTAATATTATATTGACATATATATGAACTGGGAAATATACACTAACATATGCTCAATATGATAATCATGGGTAGAAAAACGCCACAATGCCACAAACCAAAATCCCACTATGCATAGTGAACACACACCACACACACAATGCGCGACAATGCGCTATTGAGACGTATGATTTGCATATTCTAACATGAATGATACTCGACTAGTCATAATATATATAGCATATTAAATGATGTAGTGTGTGTGGTGTAGTGTTGTATGATATGTGTGATGTGTGTGGGGTGTGTTGGGTGGTGTGGAGAATGACGTGTTGGTCCTCCTCACCCAGCAAGAGAGTTTCGGGGCTGTGGATTCCCCGCTGGGAGGGCGACTTCACGGGTACGTCAGGTCCGGGAGCGAGAGCTACAATCTGTCCCACCCTGCCTGCCGTATCGGCGCGATAGCGATCACCAGTACCGGAGTGTGCACACGCCACGTTACCGGGGGTAAAAAGCGTTATCTAGAGGGACACGACACGAATAAAGAGCACGGGAAGAGATGGGGTTACGCAGCAAGCCGTCAGATCGCCAGCCTTATTTAGTTGGATTGAGAGGCATGAGACGTTCGAGACGGGGCGTGAGGGCAGAGGTGGCGTCCAGCCGGAGCGAAGCCACCGAGGTTTAAAACCCTACGAGGCGAGGGGAGTCAGGGTGGGAGCTTGGGAACGTCCGATTTCTTTGCGTCATGGGATGATCGGACTTGCCCATCTGCTGAGTCGAGGCACCACCTAGAGGGGAGGACTAAAGAGTGGAGGTGGCTGGCTCTCTCAGAGGTGAGATAGACGCACTGGAGGCAGCGAGGAAACGGGATGAAGCAGAATAAGGGGTAGGCTCAACCTCACCCCAAGCTGGAGGTCAAGCGCCTTGCAGCAGCACGGTCAGCACGATCTCCCAACGCGACAGTAGCCATCGGCACATCTCCAGCAGACATCACATCCCTTGCTTTTTATTACGTCTTTAGGTTCTGATAAGGCTACACGTATGTATATTTACGAAGATGCTTCGAAAAGGGAAAGGCAAAAAGAACCGGAGACAAGATGTAGGAAATGCTGAAGGAACAACGTCCCAGCCAGAGGACCTACTCCAGGGTAACGGTGACCAAGAAGGGAAGAGCCTGGCTGGAGGTGAGTCCAAACCAAGTGAGCAAGCTGAAGGAAAGAGAGAAGGACATACCCAGAGGTAACGAGTGGAACGAAGAAGGGGAAGAGCCTGGCTGGAGGTGAGTCCAATACAGCAAGTTCCTGTACAGGTAACATGCTTACGATGCAGACGTTCCAATTTCTCGACAGACGAGAAGAGAGGCTGTGGATTTTTTTTTCGGTCAACATGATTGTTTTTTACAATAAGACGTCAGCCAACTACATCAGCAGCATGTTAAAGATGAAGCTGCTGGAGGGCATAGCTGTACAGCTGAACATCGACCGTGAGCATCAATTTTAGTGTCATTTTAGTGCAGTTAAAATGTGTGCATTTTAACAGCTTAAGTTTATTATCAGTGTTGATTATAAGCTAAAAAGTATGTTCCCATGGGCGTAGCCAGGATTTGGGAAAAGGGGGATTTCCGAAACTGTATGGTTAAATATATATATATATATATATATATATATATATATATATATATATATACATATATATATATATATATATATATATATATGTAACATATATATGTATTCGTATATATTATGTGTGTGTTGTTTCCGTTTGTGTATTTAAAAATCTCGCTTTCCCTTATATTTTCTTTTTTTATTTTGAGGTGGGGGGAGGGGGTTCCAGGCAACAAGAAATCTCCTGAATACGCCGCTGCGTACTATCTTTCTCACACCTGTGACTAAAGGTCTTTGCAGTGACCTCTTTTTCTGCGTTCTGCGTGCAGATTCAAAGACACAAGGTTGATACAAGAACCAGCGCTCTGCCCGAGGGATGCCATGTAAAAGAAAATCCTGCCAAGTGACAGAGTCGTTGACGGTAAGAAAAGGGTCACACACTCACACATATATGTACACACACACACACATATGTACATATACACACACACACATATATGTACATATACACACACACACATACACGCACGCAAGTACACACACACACATACACATATATATACATATATGTATGTGTGTGTATGTATATATATATATATA